CACGATTTTCAATCGCCTTACAGTGTACAAGAATTTCGAACCGTGCATTTTGTCCTATTTTTCTACTACTATCAACAGGCCAATAGATCGAAGACACGGATCGATTTAGTAGCAAGAACGCATAGTAGCCATACAAAATACGTCTATTGTGCATTGCACAACAACTAAAATTTGGGAGAACATATTCATTAAAAAGTGGGTCAACTTGTTTGTCAGCTTCTCCTAAAGGGGTTTCCTCTGTTGATTTTCATATGCAAGGTGCGCAGTAGATGCTGAGGCCCGAGCCCCCGGAGCTGATATTTTTCCATCCTCTCGCAATGCTTATCATGCACAATTTTCGACTGCTGTTTCTATAACTGCATGGCCATTATTCATTGACGAAGCATATGTTGTCTTAGAACGATCGATGGGCTTTCATGATGTGCATGTAACAGATCCATTGGCCGCAATCTCCAGACACAGCTTCAGTGCTTCCAATGCAATCTTTTGTAAAATTTCCGAGCGACAACATATGTTATAAATTTATTGTTATGTTTGTAGTTATGTTTGAAGTTATGTGACTTCAGAACACAATATCCACCTTTCCCGCCCTCGCAATCTCGACTGCCGATTCCACAGCGATGCCGATTTCATATTAACAGATGACGTTGATTCAATCAGCTAAACTGCATAAACAACGAACCCAAGCTCGAGAAATGCTACGAGTCCAGAGATTTCGCCCGCCAGGATTGTTCTATGCTTGTCGGTACAGGACACGAATGTCATAAAAGGATCGTGAAGGGGTCGTGAAGGGGTCATGAAGGAATCATGAAGGGGCCATGAGGGGCTTAGAAACCTAGAAACCTTAGAAACCTTACAACCCTACAATCCAAAATCAAAACATGCTGAACCCAAACAAGACATTCATGAGTTTGATGCTCTTCATGGTTTCACATCTTCGTGGCCCTCACGACTTCGTGTCCAGCAACTTCCGGATATCACTCAAATGAAGGGCATCGGACACTTGTGGCGCCTCCAGGAGTGCGACGGCGAGCTGAAGCAGAGGGAGGCCGTCTGGATGTCCTACCTGGCCATCTTCTGCACCAACTGCTCCGACTTCGCCATCGTCCTGAAGACACTGTTCTGCCGCGTCGATCGCATGCAAGAGATCTGCGCGGACCTGGCCAGGTACCTCTTGCACCGCAGCCTGTGGCGCCAGGCGTCCTTCTTCTTAAAGGCCTGCCTGAAGACGGGAGCGGTGGTGACCTTTGGCCCCTTCGCCCTCTCCGAAGAGGACGTGGAGGCGTTGGCACTGGAGAGGGACTTCCTGGAGAGAGCCAGTGGTGTTGAGGCGCTCGGAATGGACGGCAGGATCTCGGTGGACTCCTCCACCGTCAGCATGGGACGCTGAGCCGATTCGGCGGCCCCGGGATTCATGGCGATCACAATGAATCTGGATTCATGATGATGACAATGAATCCAGATTCATGGCGATCGCAATCCGGATCGCAATCCGAGTTAGCGGCGGTGCTGGTGAATCCGGATTCATGACGATCCCGACGAGCGGGATCCGTGAGCGTGATGGCCCCGGGGGTCGAGTGAGGGTGGCCGATGCCGATCACGTCTCGACTGATGGGGGCGGGTGTTTTCCGACAAGGTGGTGGCGCTGAATATGTGTCGATCAGCGTGGCGGTTGCGAGAGCATCCACATGTCCATTGCAAGGTTACAGATTGGATGCGACTTGGTCACGACGTTGCGACCAAAAAGTGTAGATTTGCAGAAGTCCGAAATAGCTCAAGCTGGGATGCTTTCGTAGTGGTTTCGCATCTTTCGCTGATGGAGTATACAAGCTGGTCACGGGCAGGAGGGGTAGGTCGCCTCAACAGCCACCAGTACAGAAGCTGATGAAGTGCAAGCTGAGTTTGGTACCAATTGTAAATTGTATCTCCACATTCTTCCAAGCCTCGATGAGGAGGTGGCGTGTCCTTTATAAACAAAAGTGATATATACCACCATGGAATTTCGAGAGCGAAACTTCTGCAATACGCCCCTGCGAAATTGCTCCATTGAGGCAGCGCTATCCTCCTGTTGTGACGACAGTGCCCTTACTTTTGGCGGCAGGCGCTGCAACCGTACAGTTCTGCGATAATGGCCCCGTTGCTCCTTTTTGCGACGGCGCAGCGTCGTCCCCTTCGCGTGGCGCACAGCCTCACAGCCCCGGCGCTGGCCAACAGGGCGGGGGTGCTCCTTGACAGCCGGCAGGGTCAACGCCCTCGAGTAAGAATGATATTCTTTTGCGACGCCAACTGCGACATCGTTTGACTTAAAGTGATGCCATCACAACCAAATTTATGCCACCGTAGTGGCAGTGATGGCGCCTGTTTGTGTCGAAGTTGCATCGCAGTCAGCATCACAGACATGGTGTTTTCTGATAGCGACCAGGAGCAGTTAGCAGGGCGCCACCTGCAACGCTGCGCGCGCCGCCAGAGTTCTGCCAGCAGCACCGCGTAAGCAACGTGGTCCAATCTGACAGTTGCTATGGGAAGCATACAAGGAGTCCCCTTCCCATCTCAATCCCTCTTCCTCTCATACACCTTGAAGTTTCCAAGTGCCGCCGGAAATTCTCGTGGTTACCGCCGAGCAGCGTTGCCATGGGCACAGCAACCATACGTGCATGCACTCACCATAGGAGTGACGCTGTCGTGGCTCTTTGGGATCTTATTCTATTTGCTCAATGCATCTGACGATACTGCCGTATTTAAGGAGATATGTAAGACCATTTGAACACTGATACAAGTCCTGAAACTGCTGAGCCCAACGGGAACAGCGCCGGGCTGTTTTGAATTGAAAGTTCCGTCTTCGCTGCACAGCTCCGTCCTCGTTGCAACGAGGAGCCGGACCGTTGGCCGAATGACTTTACTCGTATCATTGAAGAGTTGCGTTTCATTTATTCAACGGGGAGCCTTCGGCCAGATGTCGACGCATTATGCTCCAGTCGACTCTACAGGAGGCCGTGTGTCAGAACATCGCCGAACTGCAAGCCAATCCGCTGGGTGGATTCCACTCTACTCGGCTTCATCAGCCAGGATGTTATGTGTCGAGCGCCGCACTTCTCTGCACCAAGCACGGCTATTGCCCAACGGCGGGCCGAACTCGCTTGCATACCGACATGAAGTCCTTGGTAGAGCGCCCGGACTTTGGGACCTCGTGTGCTGCAGCGCCACGAGTGTCGAGTGTCATGGTTGAGACACCACAGTTGAGGGCAACTTCGGGTGCCGCACCATAGCATAGCGACTTGCATGGTGCCACGTCACGACTTGTGCCGCCTTTCATGGTGCAACGTCGCGGCTTGGGGAGTGGGGTGCGGTGCCCAGGGAGCCGCACCATGAGCTGGTAAAAATTGAGTGCCTGAGCCAATGGCGCCACAAAATGTTTTGGTGGTCACATCGCACGAACTCTTAGCGACACGCTTGGCTCCGGAACTTGAGCGAGCTTTGCTGCTTGTTGACAGCCTACGCTGGGGGCCTTGAGGCGCAAAGTGGTGGCGCGCCCTGCGGCTCAATATAAAGGGGGCACGCTTTCTCTCGTAACCCTGTCTGGGCCCACGTGCCCTGAGTCTTCCCAGGGGTTCATTCAGGAATCGTCCCCGCAGCTTTGATGATTTGTTAGCGGGACAATGCCGTACTGAAGGGCAGCGCTGATGCAAGCTCGACTGGGGCGCCTCCTCGAGCATTCGCGTCCAGAGGAGGAGTCCAAGGAAGAGTCTCAGTGGCATCCCAGCAAGCGTCATTTATTGTCAATTGTCGTCCCAGAAATGGCCATTCCCACTAGTTCGGAAGATCTGCCATTGAGGCAGATTTCCTGCGGTGGGGTGCGGCTCAGGCCACAGTGGCTCCACCACTGGCAAAGGCGACACGCGCTCACTTTCAAAAATCAAGAAGAATTCTTGGAACAATGGGAAGCCGGTTCAGCCCGCAATTAGCACACAAGTGGACCATCAATCGGATGTGTTCAATCCCCAATCCTCTGCGTCCCCTTCCCCGAATCACCCAATGAAGCGACCCAACTAAGGGCAGTACTAATTGAGGCCCCCGTGCCCGTGAACTCCACAACAACGCCCATCTAATCTACTAGCGTGGTGAATTCCAAACTCCAAACTCGCTGAGGCGACGCTGGCCGCCCAATCTTTCCCGCACACATCCTCCCAAAACGATCTCTGGCCAATTCCCGCGCACAGCCTGCCACTCCCCATGCCCACACACAGCGCGACTTTAAGACCCCTGTATTTTGAATTCAAATCAAATGCAACATTCGGTCGCCCAGAACGAGGTCGGATAATGGTGCCAACCGGCGAGGGGCACCCATTCGTTGTCCCATTCCAGCCCCCGCACTGGGGGGGGGCAATAATGTGTGCCCGCCAGCTCCACAGCCGCCGATGAAAACTCACAGTGCAATAGAGGAAAATCCAATTTTTTCAGTACCTGGAACGCGTGCCTATACCCAATATCTCAAACCATTGGGGGGCACCGCGCGAGCCGGTGCAGGGAGCTTATTCGGTCAGCCACCCGACCTGACCCGACCAAACACACTGTCACTGCACCAACAGCCCGAAGGCCATGCTCACAAACTCGCAGAGTGCACAATGCACTGCGCTTAACTCACAAAGTGGCAAGGCCACAAAGTGCACAAAGTATTACTCCCACCCTACCACCCATGCCCTCCCGCAGCCCAGCCGTGTCAACTGGCGCCAATCCACATGCCATCCGCTGGGGCGCCGAATCACGTGCAAGTTCACCGCAGTCAATCAACGTGGATCTGACCCACACACAAGTTGACCATAGTCAACTGACCCATTATTGACCCACACGCAATCTGACCACAGGCAATTAATACATCACCGTCCCATATGCAAGCTGACCGCAGTCAATCACCTTGGATCTGACCCGCACGCAAGTTGACCACAGTCCGCTGATCCATCACCAACCTACATGCACGTTTACCGCAGCCAGCCGCCGGCGCCTCATATCACCGCCTCGTTCTCCTCTCCGAGCTCGAAGGCCTTGCCGGAGTACAAGCCGTTGGAGGTGAACATCCACAGGCCGCCGTTGTCCGTGGTGACCATGGCAGTGCCCACGTAGCCAATATGCAGGTCGTATTCCGTCACCATGACCTTGGCAAAAACTTTGGCGCCGCCGGGTACAGTCACGGAATAGTTGTAGGAGGGTGCCTTCACGACGGAGTAGTGGATGGGGACGGTCTCGCGCTCCCCCAAAGACCACTGAAGCTGCATGTCGCCCTCTGGGTCCAGGTAAGGAGCTTGGGCACTGGCGCAACACAGCAGGGGGGGAGAATGGTCATGTCCATATTTGTGCACACGCCAGCACAAAACTCGGCTCCTCTGATATAGCTTCTATACACAAGTTTTTGATTCAGGATTTTGAGCTTCAAATTCAGACTATATTAAGACTTAGATCGGTGATTCTGGCGAAAGCATTCGGCCCTTCCTTGCAATTTGTTGCGTTTTTGGGTCCTGCTGAATAGCGGAAAATCGCCTATCAGCACAAAGTGATTGGCGTTGAAAATTGACCTAAAAATTTCGGCGTACTCTGAATGGAAAAAGTCGCTTTCTTGGCAGCTACTTTGCGCCAGTGTGGGGGAAAAATGAGCGCCGTTGAAGGGCGGTGCGCTCAGAAGTGGACAATGGTTCCCAAAGTGCGCTCAACAGCACGCGTCTATGTCCCAGTTCAAAAGTCGCACAAACTCAGCTGAAGTCAATTCCTCCGATTCAGTTTCGCTGGATCAACGACAGAAGACGAGTTCACAAACACGTTCTCAACACCCATGCGCACAGTTCAGCAGGGAAATATCATCAAGCGCCAAACACAAAACAAAAGCTGAACGGAATTCATTCCATGCTCCACCTCTTTCAATCATTAATTCTTTCGGCGAAATCGTTCCAGGCAGTTTCAGTGACCCCAGGGCGCGCCTCCCGTGGGTCCCAAGATCCGCACCCGCTGGGCGTCAAATTCCCCCATCTGACGGTGCTCCATCTATATTGATTTATTTAATCAACAATTATATTCATCTGCGAACCCGATTCAGACAGTTTTCGACGACGTAAGCCCCCCCAGCCACGCGCCCCGCGGCCCCAGCCATCCTCACCTGACGGTGATTCATTTATAGTCATTAATTTAAGCAACGCACGTCAACAATCGCTATTTCAATCAACACTAATTTAATCAACTCAATCGCAAAATGCATTAGCAGAAAAGCTAATGCAGGCTGTTATCAGCGACGCAAGGCCCCTCAGCCCCGCGCCCCGTGGCCCCAGCCATCCCCATCTGATTATGCTTCACTCCCGATCGTTGATTTTCATTTATGTAATAAAGAATTGAACAATTTAATCAACAATTATAATCATCAAATTTATCTTCGAAGCCAATACAGGCAGTATTCAACGAGCCCCCCAAAAAAAACACGCGCCCCCAGCCACCCCCACCTGACGGTGCTTCACATTAATCTAATCAACACACATCAACAATCATTTAATTAATCAAAACAATTACTAAATGCATCGGCGAAAAGACAATACAGGCCAGTTTTCGGGGACGCAGGGTCCTCCTACCCCGCGCCCCCCCACCTGACAGCGTCGACCTCCACGCCCAGCGCCTCCACGCCCGTGGTCCAGTTGTGCTCCAGCGTCATCTCCGGGGCGCCCGCGAACCCCACGCTCTGCGGGCTGTCCGTCGGGTTCTGGTACACCGCGTCCGCCAGCGTGCTGGTCCTGCCCACCGGCACCGCGCCGTCCAACCCCGGGTACTCGTCCACGCTCACGCTCGCGTTCACCACGGGCCTCAGGAACTCGAATCCGGCAGCAACGACCACATCGCTCTCCACCCCCTTGACCCCCACCACCAGTCCGGATCCCAGATCGTCGCCCTCGATGGTGGTCTCTTCTGCTCGGGTGCCTTCCGTCAGTCCCACGTCGAACTCCTCTCCGGCGCTCGTGGTGAAATGAATGGCGCCCAGGGCTTCGTCGTCCCCCTCCATGCCGTTCGTCCACAGCGTCAAGGTGTCGATCGTCTCCCCCTGGGCGAACGTGTAGGTGGATGCGGCCGGGTCGTTGAGGCCCGCCGCCAGGGGGGGCGCCTTGGGGGCTGGCGCTGTGCCGTTCGACGGCGGCACGTAAGATCCATTCGATGGTGCCGGTGCCGGGGGCGTGGGTGGCACATAAGAGCCATTTGACGGGGCAGGGGCAGGCTGCGGCGGCGGCACATAGGATCCATTCGATGGTGCCGGCGCCGGGGGCGTAGGAGGTACGTAAGATCCATTCGATGGTGCCGGTGCCGGGGGCGTGGGTGGCACATAAGAACCATTTGACGGGGCAGGGGCAGGCTGCGGCGGCGGCACATAGGATCCATTCGATGGTGCCGGCGCCGGGGGCGTAGGAGGTACGT